GGAATAAAACTTCGGGTTTGTTTATAAGTAAATAAGACCTGACCCAGACCCTGGCAACCTCAGGAGACATCTTTCTATCAACGGCCATAAGGCAGGGTGCCAACCAGCTCTGGCTCCTGGAGACAAAACTTGTTCAGGAAGAATTCTGGTTCTGCTCATCATAGGTTTGTTCAGGGAAGGGTGTAGCCCCAGGAATGGGAGGAGAAGACCTGCCTTCTCCTATTTCTTTTTTTTTTTTTTTAATTACGCAAAAAACCCCAACAATGCTGCAGTGGGCTGAAGCCGATGTATCTTTTTATAATACAATGAGTTTTTGTGAAATGGAATCGCTGGCCTGAAACTTGGAGGCATTGCTCAGTTTTAACTTATACTTTATTCAGGCAAAACTCCAGTTGATGTGAGAGAGCACTGGGTCATATTAGGATTTGGCCCAGATGGGCGGAGGAGAGCCAAGCTCAGAATGTCACATAAACATATTAGCTAGAGACTTGGCTTTCTCCGAGATCCCAGGGATGGAATAGAGCCGTGATCTAGTCTTCTACGAGGCATATAAGGAGGTTAAATTTGTCCTGCATAGAGGATTAAGAGAACAGAATCCAAACATCTGCACAAGCATCTGTATCATCTCTTCCTCCTCCCGGCGATGTCTGGAATACAGTCCTTTTTTGTGTGACAGGTAGAAACCGAGCTGAAAACTACTTAACCTGTTTCGTGTGAGTGAAAAAAAAAAAAAAATCAAACTATGAGTTGTTCATGCTGAAGTCGAAAGCATGTTCTTTCTCGTGATGAGGTATGAAGAGGGCATATTGTTCATTTAAACCACACTCTATAGTTTTTGCAGCGGCAAAGTATTTTTGAAAGTTTACAGCTGTAGTAGAAATTCCCTGGAGCTTAACCGTCAGTTTTCTGCCAATCAGAAAGCTGAAGGCGCTCCGGTTTGGGCTCCAAAAGTGACATTTTAGTGTTACACGTCTCAAATGTGGAGCGGTTTCGAGAGAGCATCCTGACAGGTTTTGAACTCCGAATAAATTATTTTCTGGTGCCAAGCTACACAGTCTGGGAAAGGCTGCACGCTGCACGCCACACTCGCTCCCTGTACCTATGCCAGAAACTGAAATATATATTAAAAAAAAAAAATAGTTATAAGAAATATGGCCTGGGACTAAGGTCTGCGGATGCATTTCAAGTAGGAGCTCTCTCTAACATTTAACTTATTAACTGTTCTCACAGCCATAAGAAGTTGGTACAGGAGGAGGTCCATGTGCATGTATATCATGTAGTGACACAGTGGAGAAAGGGAGAGGAAGGGCATGAAAGAGAGCACCTCGGCTTGACCAAAAACCATCTACACTGTGGAGGAAATGGTAAAACTTGGGCCAATCCACTGTAAGTCTATTAACTTAATAAGTTTAAAAGTGACTTTACGGTGGTTTCTGAAAGGGAGGACGTGGGCATCTGAGAAGGTGTAGCTGCTAAGGCACCGATGTGGGACTTCATCTTTCAGGGAACAAGAATGCATCAGCATGTCATGACTGTCACCACAAAATGGTCAAAAGGAAGAGGCGGAAGGAAGTTTAAAATTGCTTCTTCTTCTTAAAAAAAAAAAGAATGGTTATGAGACGGAAAAAAAGAAAAGACATTCAGTTTCTTACTTATACTTCATTTATTTAACCGGAGTAGGGAAGAGCTGGGAGAGAAATGGGCAACGGTTTAAGGCCTTTCATTGTGTAATAAGAATAGAGCATCTTTTAACTAAGACCTTGGATGAACCAATTTGCAGTAACTAATTTTAGCCCGTTAGACTAGGAGCTGCACTGCTGTAGGCAGATTTATCTCCAGGGGTATCACTAAAATGTGATTGTTTGCATCAGCCAAGGTTGGAAAGAGCTTCCCGATGGGGAATAGCTCCAATGGGGTCATCATACCTCTCCTGAAGTGCCCTGCACTGGCCAGGGCAGAGCCGGGGCACCAGGTGAGAGAACCTTTGAGCTCAGCCCCTTCTGATGTCTTTGTATGCAGGTCTCTTAATATTTTGAAACACTCTGTCATGGATTCAATGACTTTGGCCCAGAACCTTCTGTTTATTGTTAATAAAAGTCAATAGAAGTGTGGAAAAGTACAAACTGTGTACTGAAATCCATGGCAGTAGAGAGAAAAGAAAGGAAACCCACCCTTAGGTACATGCTTTGTCCCTCACGCTGTGTTGGGATCCAGAAGTAGAAACCTTTCCTCATGACTGGGGCTTAGAAAGTCAAGAATTTTGTCTCTTTATTTTCATTACAGTGAGTTAAATCCTTAGGCTCCTGTTAACACTGAACTCCAAGTTGATTTTTTGTTAAAACGCTGAAACCTAATTTTCATTTAACAATTTTCTGTTTGAGGCCAACATCAAATTAGTGTGCTTTCCACTGGCAGACCCCAGTAATTTGGTAGGCAGGAGGCTCACACATACTTAAGTTATTCAATACATTTTGTTATACTCTGTACAAAAAACCTAGTCAGAGAAGCCTGATTTATGATATTCCTCAGGTTTCCTGTTACTTTAAACCACTAACATCCTATGGCCAAGCCCTTCATAGGCAGCCAGCACATCTGGCCCAGAGTGGTTCTGTCACCTATCGCCAAAATGCCGTATTTATAATCCAGTCATGATAGAAAAGAAAGAATTGATTATGATGAAAAAGAAAAAAAAAGAGGAAAAAGCAAAGTTATCGATGGATATTTGTAAATATGATTGGGTGCTCCTTTCAAAACACACGTCTCAGACAAATAAGAGCATGGAGCACACCGAGCAGGCAGATTAGATGCGTGCAAACATCTCTTCTGGCCTAATTATAATTTACTGAAAACTCTTGATTTTTCCCATTTCACACATTTTTAATGTCTATTTTGTTTTTCATTTATACTGCCAAAGCGCTCCTGGCTGAAGCCAAAGCTACACAGCCCATCTGAAATCCCACCTGCAGTTCTGCAACTGCTTGTAAATAAGTGAGTCTGCTCCTCGCAAAACGTTTTTTAGCTGGTCTCCGTAGGGATTTAAGGCTTATGCAACCATTATGCCTGTGTTGTATCTGCGTATCCATCTGTCAAATTTGATCAATGAGCCAAAGTCTCCCAAAATATTAACTTCCTACATGTTCCATAAAAATAGTTGGAGGCAGAAATTTGGTTTAATGTTCTCCTTAAAGGGGAAAGCTGGTGTGGATGTCCATGCTGTAGAAATCATATGCAAAAATCCTCAGGGCAAGAAATAAAGCTCGCCGCACAAATCCTTAATTTTTCCTCATAAAACTAGACGCTTTAAAAAGAGCTACATAAACAAGAGAGTAGGAAGGCCTGCAGGTTTCAGACTGGTACAGGCTGTGAAGTCAGGCAGCGGTTTGGGGGTGCCGTGAGCGCGGGTTTGGGTTGTGTGTGCTCCTAAAGGGCACAGGCAGAGCTGGCAGTATTCCTTCTCTGGCAGATGCATTTTGCAGTGATTCATTTTTTCTAAGGGGGTCGTGAAAGAAACTTATAGATGCTAACGAACAGATTCTCAGCTTTGTCAAACTCTGGAACACTGCTATGGAAATGCGAAGAGCTGCAGAGGTTCAACATCTCTGAAAATCTGATCACTGAATATTTCTGGTCAGCTTCCTCCGCCGAAGAGATCCGAGGTTTTTCCAAATCTCTGCCAAACTCTGACGTTCACAAAGCGTTTCTCAAGTGGATTTGGATGATGTAACCAATAACCATGAAAACCTCCTCCACTTTCCAAATTACATCTGGCTGGGATGAATTCCTATACGGATAACACAAAGAAAATGTGAAAGACTGTTCTAAACCTTATTATGCAGTTGCATTATGACGTATAAAAGTCCCTAATGGTTACATGGCATAATCTAAAGCAACTGCGTGTTCACACACCAGAGATCCAACAGCTTTGCCATTTTGTTCTTAATTATCCCTGGTGGATAAACTAGTCAAAAGACTGAGCCAACTTCTCCAGCCTCAGAACCGAAGGAGCAATGCTGATCTACATCAGCTGCAATCCTTGACTGCAGTTTACAAAACAGACATCAATTAATTTCCTGCAGAAACATCCTGGAAGTGCAGCCTGACATTTTTTTGACCTCCAATTCAGCAAGCTATCTGCATGCCGAAAATTATTTAAGCACACGTTTGACTGCAAGCAAATGCTGAAACATGTCTTTGAGCTTCAGATACGTGCCTGAGTGTTGTTAAAATGGGATCTCGGGGGAAGCACCCACCTGACTTGTATTTTCACTCAAGAAGACGATCTTTGCACCACCAACACAGGACTCAGCAGTTCTTAATGATGACAATGCCTCGCGTTGCTTCTCTTGGAAATAATTTTGCGCGTCTCTCTCAGAAGAATTAGATCACAGTCAGTCCCACCTTAACTACATATTTGCTAGCTGAACAAACAGGATGAAATTGGACCTGATGGTCATGTCTGCTGGCAGAATCGAGCACTTTCAGTGCCTTAAGACTGGTTCCAAGGGTGCAAGGTATTCAACCAGCCTCTCACATCCCCGGATTTTGCCCTCTGCCAAAATTACAGCCCAGCAAAACGTTTTCAATGCTGCCATCACCACTGCTAACAATAACGCGCAAACCAGAAGGACAAACTCATTCACGTTTCAAAGGGCGATCTCAGCAATATTAATTGCACAATAAGAAAGAATTGGTTCCAAATATGCAGCCAGCGATTTATTTATGTTCAATTCTGAGTCATGAATCTTTAATTTGACGTTTAAAGCCTATTTTAACAAACGAGACTTTTTTTTTTTTTTTTTTTTTTTTTTTTTTTTTTTTTTTTTAGTTTGCAGAGTGCCTAATCAGATGGGTTTCTGCGCAATTTTAGTAGCTCTGAGAAATGCAGTCTCTGATGAATATTTCACTGCACTAAACATAAATTTTCCCTACGTAAGCTAAACCTGCACTGTTCCTTTATTACGTGAAAGTGCTAAAAACTTTGCTTTCCCCTTTTATTGTTGTTTATACAGACAAACGGAAAATGAAAACAGAGGATCAGAATTAATTCTGAAGACAGCTGACCTCATGAGCAAGTTTCTGTGCCTTTATTCACATCACTTGTTCCTCCCTGTGTACCACCCTCGGAACCATGTGGAATAGTTCTTGAAAATCGGATAAAAGGGGGGAGAAATCTGCAATTAAAACAAGGTACTGAGGGAAAAATGTTTTCTGACTCTGCAGTTATTTGGTGGTGTTTTTTTTTCTGAGTGACCAAACAAGGTATTTAGGCTGCGATTCCACAGGCAGTCGTATTTCTGCTGAATGTTGATAACTCATTTACAAGTATATATTTGAGCCGAATTACCTTCTTGTTAGCTTTTAGTGTCCCACAGTTCTTCACCTGTGAAATAGGGTCATTTAATCTCTCTCGTTAGGCTAATACATGTTTAGAAGCAATGAGGTATTCAGATATTGTGTAATGGGGGGATAGAAAGAATCCAAATGCAGTTATTCATTAGTATAACAGGTTTGCACTTGGCTCAGCAGAATGGCAAAGGGTAGGTGGAATGAACTACTGCAGGACACATATTACTATAATTTTTATCGCAGGTAGCTTGAGCCCATAAATAGCTGGAGAAATAAGTAAGTAAGGAGAAAAATCTAAAATTAAGTGTTGCAGTCTTGGGTACATTTTGAGCCCAAACACACATTTGGATCTATGAGTTTTGAGGTGTGAATAGAGATAAACCACAATTAATGGTGCCATCCATGGAGAAAGGTGGTGAGGAAAGAATTTCATGTTCTCTGTATGTGCCCAAACCAGACACGTATATATCATTGATAAATGTAGAACGAACGTTTAAATACAAATATGGGTGTTGCACGCTCGTATTAAAAAGTTGCCCTTGGTCTTTGTTGGTAGGAGATACGCTCTTAATGGAGAAGAACACAGCCAATGAGGCCACGCTTTCCTGTCTCCAGAGCTACTAAAATAATAATAATAATAATAATAATAATAATAATAATAATAATAATAATAATAATAATAAACAACAATAAACTGGAAGAGAAACACAAGCCTACAGACAGACGTGAAGAAAAGAAGCAGGTCTGGGACCACTTGAAGATATCAGTGTAAGACGAACTTGATTTAAGGGTCTAAAGAGAGTCTTATCATCTGGGAAGGACTGATAAAGGAGGATTGATGGCATTCATGTGCCTCTTGGTGACGACGTCTCCACAGCCATTGCTTTTCCTTCACAAGGGCTTTGGTAGCCAAGAACAGCAGCAACTATCATATAGACGATCGTGATTTTACTTTTTCCTCTTATTGAAGGATTTAAAAAAACTTAAATCAGAGCTAGCGACGGTTCTGGGGTTGTCCATAAAGAAAACACGTATAGGCCAGGTACAAGAAAGAAGTGACTCTGGAAGATTTTTACAATTGAATCAGTTCCTTCTGCCACTGATCTCCTGCCATTGCACCAATGAATCTGGCCTTTCGTGTTTATGAAATCCTTTCAGGAAGCAAGACTGTACACTGACATTCATTATAATGATTTTAATTATTTAACTGATTTAGAGGATTCTCTTGCTTTGTCTTCGTATTTCATATGTATGTAAAAAAAGTGTGAAATTAATGAATGTTAGAAAATGTTGCATGTATTAAAGATTTCTGACTAGGATATGTGCACCAACTGGGGCCATCATGTAGGTGAGCAAATATCAGCATCAGCTTCATCTTTAAATTCTGTTTTCCCTGCTTTTCTTACTTTGCCATAGATTTTTGTGGTATGAATTTATTTCTTTCCTTTTTTATTTTTTTTTATTTTTAAAAATACCAATAAAAAAAAAAATCTTCGTTGGAAATATTTGAAATATTCTCCACTGGAAAAATAATATCCTGTAGTAGATGGATAGTCGTGTAAACACACCGCTGCCTAGCGCAACAAAACGAGCCTGGATTCA